TTCAGTAAAGGTGATTAGAGGAAACACAGGGAGTGATGAGATACCTAATGAAACAGGAACAGCTCAACAGAAATAATCCTTAGATGAGGCTGCCAGTTTCTTAGACTAAAGCACACAATTCAGAGCTAAGGATGATGCACTACAAACCAGGAGAAACTGCTGCTGAGTCCCAAGGTTGGTAAGGAGATACAAGAGAAACTGCCCAGGCTGCAGCAGACACGATCATGACTAGGATGTGGGACAGATATTAACTGCATTCCTGAGAATAAATTTGGGTGAGCAAAGCCATTGGTAATTTCAGAAGAGCCAAGTGCAAGCTCCCAAAATGCAGAGACAACACAGGATTGGGAGGGATTGTAAGTGCTGAGAGTAGTAGTTCCTCATAGAGAAAGAAGAAGGGGACCTTGACCTTGTCAAGGGATGAGGGAAGTAGGTGAAATGTAATGGCAGAAAGGGCAAATTAAACACTTGGGGACTAGTGACAATACATGTGCTATAAACTGATGAAATGGAGGCTCTGAAGGAATAAAAAGACCTTAGCATGCTGAAGGCTGAATACGAAGCAGCAGTGTGACACTTCTGTGAAAAAGGAATGGCATGATGCTAGGATGCATCAGACAAGTTATTTTTAGCAGAGACAGAAACATTATTGCCATTGCGCAAGGCATTGTGAGACTTCCTCCAGAACATCCTTGCAGCTTTGCATCCAGAAAGGATAAATTTCCACTGCACAGAGAAAAACTATTTGGATACTGAGACAAACAAGCACAAACTGATGAAGAATCTGCTAAAAGAGTTTGGCTTGTTCTGGCCAGAGAGATGCTGAGAGGGAACAAATGTATTTCTGAAGAAGCACTAAAAGAAAACTGTGAATAAAAAAATGTTAAGGAAACATTTAAGATATACAATAATGGCAAAAAATATATTTAATAAGTTTGATGGTGAGTTAGCGAGTTTATAACGCTGCTAGGACTGATATTCTGGACCAGCCTTCCAAGACGAGTAATGAGGCAGAGAAATCCGGATCAATTTAACATACAGTTTGATAGAACTCCATTCATTTCTCAGTGAAGGAGCCCTGGAAAGAGGTGGTTCAGCCTGGGACAGCTCCTGGCTAGTCAGAGTCAGCAGCACTAAAGCTCTTTGGAGGAGGTCCTGCTTTACCCCAGGCTTCCAGGTTCCGGATGATGATGTGATGATGAAGAATAACCAATTTTCCTCTTAATCTGCTTCTAAAGGTACTGAGGTTTTCCCTCTTCCAGAGGACTAAAGACAAGCTCTGGGCCTTACGCATTGGAGCTCCCAGCATTACAGTCCCAGAGGTCTGCTCACACATTAGGCTTAATGCTATTGCCAGATTAGGGTCAGGAGGGAATTTTCCTGGATTGACAGAAAAACTGTGGTTGCATTTTTTGTGTGGTTTTGGTTGGGGTTTTCTTGTTTTGTTTTGGTTTTTTTATTTCGCCAAGTTCACATCTGTTTTCTAGATCCTATGTCATTTTTTTCATAAAGTCTCTGCCATCACCAGGCTGGAGACCTGTTAATTTCCCTGCTTGCTTCCTATGGCATATTACAGCTACAGCTTTTTTGCTGAAAGGAGTCTGGAAGCATTTGCAGCACCTGGTTTGCGGGGTGAGTGGAGTGGGTGTCTGATCTAGAGGCACCAGCAGGACCTTCACTGCATGTTTACTCACAGCTGCAGGACACTGGACTACAGGGTGGCCCTGGAGGACTGCCCCAGTGTGAACACAAGTAGACACCATAACTGCAACAGCAGCTGCAAGAGGGAACATGGGAATTAACTCAGGCTCTCAGCTGTGCAAGCACAGATTTAAAAAACACACTACCACTGTCTGGCCTCCAGGGCTTGCTTGCCAGGCAGGAAGAGATTTGGGATGAGCGATGTGTAAGAAAGCAGAGAAGGTGTGGTGAGAGTGAGGGAGCCCCATACCTGCAGGTGCTGCATGCCACAGGGGGATGGAGCATCTCTCCCAGCTCTCCAGGGCTCCTCTGAGTTCACATTTCCAGCAATCCCAGCAGCAAATGCTCATGGCCACTCTCAGCAGGCAACCTGAAGCTGAGTACCCCTGTGAGCCTCTGCTTTGGGTCAGCAGCTCTGAGCTCATTGTGTACTGAGTCAGTCTGAATCTCAAGGACTGGAGTGGATGCCAACAGCAAGGAGCACTGCATAGCCAGGTTCCTGCCTGGCCCATCTCCCCACAAAGCTCCCTGTCAGCTTTCAGAATGAGCATGCTGAGCATTTTAAGTGTGAACACCCAAAGTGTGGAAATGCACACCCACCTAACAGAAATGTGGGTGCTCAGCACCTGGCAGCACCCAACTCCAAGGTCCCACAATAACCTTCCCTGAGGATAAGGGGCTCTGCTGTTGCAGGGGGTGCTACCATGACAGCTATAGTCACCTCTGCAGCTGCAGCCACGCCTGCTGGCTGCCAGGGCAAGTGAGGGATGTGCTCCAAGTGCTGCTCCTTGCCACTATCCCCAGTGCTCTCCAGACAGCTCCTGCTGGCACCTATGCTTCAAGAGAGCTGGCTGTGCACCACTTCCCACACTCCTGCCTCCTCTTTGCAACGGTGCCTTTGCTGCTGGCTAGGCAGCAGGAAAACACCTTTCTGCAACTCTCACACCCTCCACAACAGATCTTAAATCAATAACCCAGAACACAGGGCTGGGTTATTGCTAACGGAAACCATTAAACTGTAACGGGGGGGATAAAGCCAGCCTCTAAAACTTGGAAGATTTATAGAGCACAACAGCAGCGTGTTAATTCTTTTGGCAACACAAATGCTTTCACATCCCCTGCCCTTCCTCACCCACAGGAGCAAGGAGAGGGGACCGTGTGCAGCCCAGCCCCAGGAACACAAGGACACAGCCTTGCTCACACTGCAGCCAACAGCACACATATCTAGGGTGACACCATGCTCACAGGGCTGCCCAAATGTACACACCTCAGGTCCATAGGGTAGCATTTCCCCAGGGGTTGTTCTGATAGCAGACATCCCCTATGCCCAGCTCTGCCCTCCCTGTGACACTCTCTGCCTCTCCAGTTGCACCACAGGCTCGAGAAAAGGCTGTAAAGAAATTTTCAGATCACCTAAAGCGATTGTAGAAACAAGCCCAGCTCTAGAGCACGCAAGCCCTTCTTCAGGCCTGAATCAGCCTACAGCTTGGGGGTGTTTTTGCAGCTGGTTGAACAGACACTCTCCCCGTTAACACTTCCTTAAATCCACACATCCTCAGCACCG